ACTTGGCTTATATCCTTAACTGTAATGAAATAAACACAGGCAGTGAACTGGCCATTGTTTGGGACCCCAGCTTAAAGGATCAAGTCTCAGGCCCTTAACCTACAAACAGGGCTGCAGAGACCTGCCCCCATGTCTTTCCCAGACGATTTCCCGACAGACGGTCAGCCCTAACTGGTTTTTGCTTCTTTCTTTCTTTTTTTTTTTTTTAAAGATTTTATTTATTTATTAGAGAGTGAGCAAGAGAGAAATAGCATGAGAGGGGAGAGGGTCAGAGGGAGAAGCAGGCTCTCTGCTGAGCCGGGAGCCCAATGTGGGACTCGATCCCAGGACCCCAGGATCATGACCTGAGCCGAAGGCAGTCGCTTAACCAACTGAGCCACCCAGGCGCCCACTAGTTTTTGCTTCTTAAAGAGGCTTCACTCTCTCGCCCCTGAACCTCTTCTCCCACCCTTTCTCCAACCTGGGAATCCTATCTCTGCTAGGCTACACTCTTTTTCAGGACTACTTATCTATGGACACCTTCCCTAAGCCCCTTCCCTCCCATAGAGCCCAGTGTGGACCGGGAGAACTCAGCACACAATACCACAGTTGGGGGTTTACAATCTGCAACTCCCTCACTGGCCTGGAATATTCTCAGGGAGGAAGGTACTGGATGCCTACTGGGCTCATTGCACAGGCTTCAAAACCAGGAAGGGGCTCTAGGGACCCTGTCCCAGGTCTTCTGACTATGGGACCATGTTTACTGCACCATCTCCACGCTGGGCCACCCAGCTGCCTTGAGGGCACCATGTTCTTACATCCTGCCACACCCCCGGCTAACTGATCCAGGGTGAGCACTTGATTCAAGCCAGATCTATAGCCCTTTCCCTAGGATCTTTCAAGCTATGACTGAGAAATGGCATAAGAGTAGGAAGTAAAACTCTGGAGGGTGGGCAGCCATGATCTCCATCTTGAAGGGAGTGACTACCATGACACAGGAGGAGGAGGATGTGGAGAGAGAAGCAGGCAGGAGTACGGGCAGAGACAGCCTTGGAACATTCTCCTCAGGCTCAGCTGCATCCTGCTCTGCTAATCATCTGCCTACTGGCCCTTCCCTGGAAACCACAGGACAATAGATACCCCTTTATACCTGAGCTAGTTTGACTGTTTTCTGTCAGCAGTAATCCAAAGACTCCTTCTTATCCTGATCTTGGCATTCTCCCCACTGTGTCACTGGTTCCCAAATGTTTTTTAAGGATAGGAAGCCCTCGTTCAAACAAAATCTTGCTGAGAAGCCCAAGATGTGAACTGGGTGAAGTGCAGGATAGATCGCATAGCCCGTACTCCTTGGTGCCAAAGCCCCACTCCAACAACTCCTGACCTTGCAATCAATGCTGAGACACTTAGCCTTTTAGCCTCAGCTTTCCTCTTTGTAAAAAAACAGTAGAGGTATCTGACTCTTCAGGTTGCTATAGGGTTTAAATAAGTTAATATATGTAAATCGTTCAACACAGTGCCAGGGATATAACAATCAGTCAATAACTATGAGCTCAGAAGTGGAGGACAGAAGAAAGCAGTATGGAGGTTCCTCAAACAGTTGAAAACAGAGCTACCATTCAATCCAGCAATTGTACTACTGGGTATTTACCTCAAAGATACAAATGTACCGATGTTTATAGCAGCAATGTCCACAATAGCCAAACTGTGGAAAGAGCCAAGATGTCCATCGACAGATGAATGGATAAAGAAGATGTATATATACACAATGGAATATTATGCAGCCATCAAAAGGAATGAGATCTTGCCATTTGCAACGACGTGGATGGAACTGGAGGGTGTTAGGCTGAGTGAAATAAGTCAATCAGAGAAAGACATGTATCATATGACCTCACGGATATGAGGAATTCTTAATCTGAGGAAACAAACTGAGGGTTGCTGGAGTGATGGGGGTGTGGGAGGTACGGGGTGGCTGGGTGATAGGCATTGGGGAGGGTATGTGCTATGGTGAGCGCTGTGAATTGTGCACGACTGTTGAATCACAGATCTGTACCTCTGAAACAAATAATGCAATATATGTTAAGAAAAAAAAAGAAGAAGAAGAAGATAGCAGGAGGGGAAGAATGAAGGGGAGTAAATCGGAAGGGGAGACGAACCATGAGAGACGATGGACTCTGAAAAACAAACTGAGGGTTCTAGAGGGGAGGGGGGTGGGGGGATGGGTTAGCCTGGTGATGGGTATTAAAGAGGGCACGTTCTGCGTGGAGCACTGGGTGTTATGCACAAACAATGAATCATGGAACACTACATTAAAAACTAATGATGTAATGTATGGTGATTAACATAACAATAAAAATTAAAAAAAAAAAGAAAGAAGTGGAGGATGGAGAAACCCAGGGCAACTGCCACCTTAGCTTCCCTCCTCCGTCTTCCCTCAATCATGTCTTTGGCACATGTATAATGTTTAAATTATTTGAAATGATTAGTTTAACATATCTTCCAGGTTAGGCTGGAAAGTCTCATGGAGACAAGAAGCATATCTGTCTTGATCATTGTTTACCCAGGTCTGCAGAGCACAGCTACTGGCATACAGAAGGTGACCGATAACTGCCATTGACCATGTGATAATAGGTATATGTATCATCTTGTTAAAAACTAGGCACCACACATCACCAAACCTGATGCCTTCTGCCACAGATTCAGAAAAATCGTAAGGGAAGAAGGCTCAACGCATAGGGCAGCCCACTCAGAACTAAAGTTAATTTCTTTTGGTTTGGTCAGTTATGTTACTTAGAGGTTCCCAGGTTTTCCCCATTTTAAAACTAATTCATGTAATGAAAACACAACATGACAATATTTATGAGATGCATCTAAAGCAACAAGAAAAGGAAAAGTCACAGCCTAAAACACTGTCTCAGTAAAAATGAAAACAAATGAATTCAATTCCCAAATCAAAAAGGAAAAACCCCAACAAAGTAAAACAAAATAAGTCATGAGAAAAGAAATAATAAAGATAAAATCAGAAATCAGTAAAACAGAATAGGAAGGCTATTGACCTATGGAGTTTGAAAAATTGACAAAATAGACAAACCGCTAACTGAGTCAATGAAAAAAGTGAGGAAATCCAAATACAAAATGAAGAAATTACAATGGGAAGATAACTATGAAAAAAGTGGAAATTTTAAAAATTCATGAGATTACTTTGCAAATCCCCATGCAAATCAATCTGAAAATGATACTGAAATAGATAAATACAGTTTACTAAAATGACCTCATCAGAGGTAGAAAGCTTCAACAGAGGCAATTTTTTATAGAGAAATAGAGAAGATCGTCAAGAAATTTCCCACCATTCAAATTAACACCAGACCTAAAGAGTTTCACAGGGGGTACAAACTTTCAAAGGCTAGATAGTTTTAGTGCTGCATAAATTCCTTCAGGCATAGAAAATAAAGGTAAACGTCCAAATTATTTTTATAAAGCAAATATAACACTGTTACTTAAACAAATATCACTTACCAATACTGGTGCAAAAAATCCTAAGATAAATGTTAGCAAACAGAATCAACACTGTATTGAGAAAATAGTTCAATATGACTAAGGGGATTTATTTCAGGAATGCAAGGTTGGTTCAATATTATAATAAAATATACCATATTAAGTGATCTAACAATAATCATATGATTATTTATTTCCACTGATGCTGAAAAACTCTTTAATAAAATCCAGCACTTATTTCTAATAAAAAACACTCATGAAAATAGAAATTGATGGATGTTTCCTTATCATGATAAAATATATAAACCTTGGTCCAAAGCCAGCATTTACTATATGAAGAATCACTAGAGGCATTTCCACTAGGATCAAAACAAGAAAAGGATGCCTATTATCTCTACCCTTACTTATTATTGTACTAGAGGTAAGAGTCAATGCAATTAGACAAGAGAAATCAATTAGAGTCATAAGAATTGGAAAACAGAAAGTAAAATTATTTGCAGATGATGTAATAGTACACTGAAAAACCTGAAAGAACTAATGCTCAAATTAACTCAAAGAAGAAAAGAATTAAGCTAGCAAAACAAAAAATAACAGAGAGAAACCAACAGTTTGCACACACATACACACATATACAGTCAAAAGGTATAATACTAGATAAAACTCCATTTATAACAGCATTAAGGAAGAGGAAATGCTTAGAAATCTGCCTAATAAGAAATGTGCAGAACTTATATAGGGAACACTTTAAAATGTGCCTGAATGATACATAAGTAGACATGAACAAATACAAAGACATCCTTTGTTCTTGGGTAGAAATAAATATGCAAAAATGTCTAGAAAACCTGATACTCTAGGGAGATAAAAAACCATGAGGGGAGTCGAGTCCTACCAGCTATTAAATCATGCTATGAAATCTCTATAATGAGACACTGGACACTGACAATGAGGCACTGGAATTTGAATAAACAAAAAGACAAATGGAAGAGAACAGAAATCCAGAAATCCACTCAAGTATATATAGAAGTGTAGTACATGATGAAAGTGTTCTCTCAGATCACTGGAGCACAGATGGCTCTTTAATAAAACGGTGCTGGGCAACTAGGTAGCCATTTGAAAAAAAAGATAACATTAGATCCTTACCTCACACCTTCCACACAAACAAACCCCAGATTTTAAAAAGAAACAAACATATAAACACCAGAAGAACACACACAAGGATTCAAGAATTCCTCCATAAACTGTACAAAAAAGAGTACAATAAAATAAAAGATGGATAAATTGCCCTAGGCAAAAACTTGAAAATATCTGCATGGTAAAAAATCATTGATAATTCATTTAACAACATATGTGTATATTAGGATGACTATATCATTCTTCCAAAAAGTGTTGGCTTAGCTTGACTGCAAAAGTGACGTCATCTTACTTAAATTAGCCCCTGATAAAGTTTCATTTAAAAACAGCATGGTGGAGGGAGAAAAAGTGCCCTGTGGGGAGAGTTTTCTCCACGTTAGTACTGGCTCCAGCTTTACCTTCTTCAGTTTCTTGTGGGCCCCACTGTGGTTCCCCTGTGCCAGGTCAGCCCCACCCAACAGCCGGTAGGTCTCCGCCACCTCGGGACTGAGATCACCAAACATGGCCACTTTAGCTTCCAGGGACTCTCTCAGGATTGAGGTTGCTCTCTGTGAAAGGAACAAAGATCAAAGTTTGGTTAGAAAGTTCAAAGGCTGATAAAGATCAACACCCCTTAAGGGTGGGTGGCTCAGTCAGTTAAGCGTCCCACTCTTGGATTCTGCTTGGATGTTCTCTCCCTCTGCCCCTTCCCCGACATGCGCACGTGCACCCTCTCTCTCTCTCAAAAAAGAAAATGATGTAACTGATGGGTATTTTCACTTTTCAGGGATTGGGTTTGGGTAGTGTCTCACGAGCTGAGCCTACTTTTCTCTTTAAATAGGACACGGGAAATAGCATATACGGGGGCAGGGAGGTGTTAACCATGGAGACAGAAGGGATGAAGGACACCTGGAGAACAAAGCCACCTCAGGTATTACAGGAATTCATTTTAGCTGAGTAGTAAGAACAGAAGCTAACATGTATCGCATCCTTTAGGTGCCAAAAACTGCGCTGAACAGTTTACCTGCCTGAGCTCATTTAATTCTGTCTCCTTTAGATAAGTACAATGTCAATCCTCACTGTCCAGAGGAGGAAACTGAGGCACAGAGCAGTTGGAAACTCGCTCAGGATCAGACAGCTCCCCTGTGTTTGACCTAGGATCTGAATCTGGCCTGTAATTTTAATCCTTTTCAGTTGCAGGCTCTTTTTCCCTCTGCACACAGTGACGTTCTTAGGTAAGTGAAAATTAGAGTTTCCTGGCAATTTATGTACTTAGAAAACATCCAGAATATATTCCGGGGGTTTCTATTTCTCATAAGAAATAGTTTAGGAAACCAAAAGCAAACATTCTAACATGGCAAAAAAAAAATTAAATATATTTGACATTTTGTGTGGTTTATCAGATTTATTTACACCAATGTGGAATAAAAAACATGAGTTGGTCAGAAACCAGGATCTTCTGACATTAATCTCTTCAGTCAGACCCCAAGACGTACAGAGGGAAAGTCCTGCCTGTCCATCCCCCACATTTCTTCTGAAATTCTTCCATGGCCTTGTACTTTCATGAAAGCATGATTATGGCAATGGAATACAAATGCTGAATTTGAGAGCCAAATAAGGCTGGAACCCGTTAAAGGGCTTCCCCCACCAAACAGCCCTGAAGGCATCCTGATAAGCGCTCCATGGGCAGAAGGAGCTGACAAAGCTTTACTCAGTTTATGGGCAATAATATGAGTTAAGGGCTTGGGGTGGGGGGTGGGGTGCGGAACAGCGAAGGCATTGATAAGGCAGAAACAATTTCTTCGTGGAAAGATGAAACACCCTAGGAGCACAGCAACTGTAAATTGTGAAGTGTGTGACCCACCTTGGTGCGTGGGGAACCTGCCTGATGCTGAAGCCCACCCCCGGCATCTGTGAGCAAGGATTTGGCAAGGTGCAGGTGCTGGGCTTGGCAACTTGTCCATGGAAACTGGTTGTCAGGTTTTGAGGAGCCAATGATGGAAAGAAGAGCCAGACTCTTTTTGCTACATGAGGCTTTCGATGCCATTTCCAGCCTGGTGGGGGAAACTAGAGAGAGATGTGAATGAACTTGAACGGCAGGTGGAGATGGCAATGGAAGAGATGTCACATGGGTGGAAACAGAGATGGCGCCAGTCTGTGAGAGGGAGAACAGCGTAATGGACAGGAATGAAGGAAAAATAGGACCCGGGTGGGCTGAGGAGAGGGTGCGTGGGAAACTGGGAGCCCAGGGGTGAGGTGAGAGAAGGGCAGGGCCAGCCAGAGGGCTCACCTGACTGCAGCACAGAGTAGGAAGGGGAGCAGGGGGAGATGAGGCAGGAGTTGCAGGCAGGGCTGGTGGTTGGTGGACGGCCTTCATGCCAGGCTCGGGAGTTTGGATTTCCTTATGGGGAATAAGAAGCTGGAGAAGGTTCTGGAGCAGAAAACTAGAAGAGAAGCCCCACGCAAGTGTCTTAATCTGTGGCAGAGTGACCTTCACTTACATTTTACCTTAAAAGTCATTGTCCTTCCCAAAGATCACCTTCCCGCTAGCACAGGGCTCTAGCCCATGCAGGGGCAATGACCGCATCTGGGGTGGTCTGAGCACAGGGCCGTGCTCATGCCTGGGACTGTCCTCGGGCCCAGCCTTGTTGGCCACCTGCGAGAACCCACAGGGAGAGGGCTGCAGCCAGGGTGAGCCCCGTGCAAGGCTGCCACGTCCGGTTGGGTGAGTTGGGTCATGCACAAGGACAGAGAGCAAGGACAGCTGAAATCCAGCCTGTGTGCCACTCTCCAAGCAATGTGCTCTGGCGCAAGCTCCGTCCACCTGAGGAAGATGCAGCTTTTTCTATTCTTACCAGGGCACTAGAAGGGCTGGCAGGGGACAGAATGGAAAGAGCCAGTTTGCTAAAATCTCCAAGGGAGGTCGAGGGGAGCAAGGTACATCTCTAGTTCAATACCACTGATTTGGGTGACTAGGGCAAGGGCGGTGAAGTGTGGCATCGGTGACAGATACCAGGGCAGGAAGCCAGACAAAAACGGGGGAGAGGGCAGATGCCCTGTGGTAGCTGGAGCAGTCAGGTGACCCACAGCCAAGCATCCACCCACCCACCTGCTCATGGCTCCCCACCAAGAGCAAGAGGGTCCCTGCTCTACGGAATTCGGTCCAGTCAGGGGAGAGATGGTACACATCCACACATAACTTACTATTCTTATTATATTGTTACGTTATTCCTATAATGTGCTTATCATATTTTTTAAAATTATCAGAGAGAGAGAGAGAGAGAGCGAGTGCATGTGTGGGAGGGGCAGAAGGAGAGGGAGAGAGAGTCCCAGGGTGACTCTCCGCCCGGCGCAGAGCCCAACATGGGGCTCGAACTCACGACTCCAAGATCATGACCTGACCCGAACCAAGAGTTGGACGCTCAAGCCACTGTGCCACCCAAGCGCCCCTTATCCTATTATTATGTCAAAAATGATTCTATACAATAATGGGAAGAATCAAATGAAGACTGGGGAAAGGAATTGGTCAAGCTGATGGGTCCTCAAAGATGGATCTGTATTAGCCAGGTGATCAGTGAGGAAGAGCCTTCCAAGAGCAGGAAACGAAAGTTGGTACTTCCTGGAAGTGAGGATTAGAAAAGGTCAATGTGGCCAGAACAGATTGAGGGAGGGGGGAAAATAAGACCGGAAATGTCAGCAGAATCCAGATTGCATTGAAGGTATTGTGAGACATACAGGATTCTGATTTATTTTAAGGGCAGTGAGAAGCCATTGGAGTAATTTGAAAATGGGGGTTCACTGACCAGATCTGCATTTTGAAAAGATCGCCATCGCTTCCTTATTCAGAATGGATGAGAAAAAGGCAAGAGTGGAAAAGGCAGCTGGGGGACCAGAGTCTGTTCGAGTGGTCCAGGCAGGAGGTGACGACTGGCAGAGGTGGACATGATAACCAGTACATTCTGGAGGTAAAAGTGACTGCTGAGCTGGAAGGTGTAAGGCATGATGTGGGCAGACTCCCCTTCTTCCCCTCCAGACTTCTGACCTGAGCACTCTCCACAGAACTTCTCCAGATATTCTAGAAGCTGAAGCCCCTGGAAGGCCCCTTTCTACTTCGTTGGGTGATCCAAAAAAATATGGAAACTCCATTTGTTATGGTTACCGCAGTCCTACTTTGGCCTGACGAACATGGGTGCATCTAGATTAAAAACTCACGTTCCTTAAGCTCATATCAATTGAGAGAAGGGTGAGGGGTTAAGGGCTAGGGCAGAGCCATGGGGGAGGTCTACAGAACAGCAGAGGAAATACAAGGTTTTCATCTCAAGGATTTGCCTTGATAGGTTAAAGTTGAAAAAAAAAATCTATATAAATCAAGCCACATCAAGTGGCTTTCTGGTAACTGTTAGGCTTTGCATGGAATAAGTTCCCAAGGGTTTAATTGCCAGTGAATATAAACTCTGGGTCTTGTTCCATTTTTACAAGCCATAAGAAAAGCATGCTTGTCTGGCTCAATGGACCGTGAGCTGTAACTTCTGTGCTGTGTAGCTCTCATTAGATATGTAAATTCCTTCCATAACCCAAAATAAGGAGAGAGGAATCAGGCCCATTAACTGCCTCCCTCTATCCTAGCCAGAACCACAGGCTGTGAGAAGCAGGGTTTGCCCACTGGGTTTTCAAGGTTTCTAGCCCTTTAGGATCCCTTGTGGGGAGTGGGGGGCCATGGCATCTACATTCTTATAAATAGTTTTTGTTTCCCAAGACGGAGTATCTGGGAGCTGCCTAAGAGAGGCCACCTGGGTTTATTTATCCCTATTCCTATGCGAGCCTGGTACATGCCTTAGGCTTAATGGATGCTTGCAAAGTGAAGGAGTAGCACTTCGGATATTAATTCATGTAAACAGTCAACTCTGGGCCAAACTCACTTACCTCTTTTTGTCCAGTGACTTGTAGAAAACGGCAATAATCATCTTGAATTGAAAGAAATCTGGCTTTTCCCGTCCCTTCAGCATCCTTAAGATTAGCCATGCTCTCTTGAAAATACTGCTCGGCCACATCTGAAGAAAAGCATCAAAACAACATTTGAAGATCGCTTGCAGAGTTGAAATGGAAACAGGATAAAAATGCTTTTAGCTGTGGTGAACTATCTGAAGATAGTATTTAGACAAGAGGACCTAGTTAATGTGCCTGTTTTTCAGAAAAGACTTAGGTCTCAGAGGGATACGGCTTTCATACATTTTAGCTCTCCCAGCAATACGGTAAGCAAAGCTAATGCAAACGGAAAATATTCCCCAGACCTGAACACACTGGTAACGTTTTCTGGTTGATTAACCATTAATTCTTCCTATAACTCGGGTTGCTGCCCACTGAGGGTATGGCTTCAAGGATCCACTTACTTTAATGGACTCTGTTATCTTAGAACCTAGTTTTACAACATTAAAATTTGGGAAAATATGGCTGACATGCCACTGAAGGAAGGAACCCAACCATTCCAAATACATAAACATAGTGGTCATAATATAATGAACATATTTTTAAATGTATGCCAACCTTGAAAGCAAGAAAAGGAAAACCTCAGGTATAGAAAATGAAGAAGGAACTAGAAGCCAGAGCAGTGAGTGGGGGCCGAATGTTCCATGAGGGTATTAGAAAACAGGTATATCCCATAAGGATGAGGACTAGAGATGAGGCCTGAGGACTGGGTGTGGTAAGAAGATGGAACAGACCTCCCTACAACAAGCCAGTGTGGTAGGCAGCATTCTAGGATGGCGCCATATGCCCCTCACCTTTGTCTAATCCCTCCCCTGTGATGATGGGTGGAACTTGCCGATATGATGAGATATTACTCCTATGATGAGGTTTTGTGATATGACATGGTTGACTTTAAGAAAGTGAGATTATCCCTTGGGCTTAACCAACTCACCTGAGCCCTTTAAAAGCCGAGTTTTCTCCAGTCGGTAACAAAAAAGGCAGCCAGAGAGATTCAAGGCACAAGAGGGATTTGACAAGGAGGTTCTCCATTGGTGAGATGGAAGGAACCATGGTGTAAGGACCCAAGAGTGGTCCATAGATGACGAGAGAGGTCCCTGGCCAATAGCCAGCAAGCAAATGGGGATTTCAGTCCTACAACCGAAAGGAAGTGAATTCTGCTAATAATAGGAATGAGTTGGGAAAAGGACCCCATGCTCCAGAGGAGAATGTACCTGGCCGATGGCTTGCTTTTAGGCTGACAGCTTGATGTCAGCCTGAGCTCGATTTAAGCCAGCCTTACAGGACTAGACTTCTGACCTACAGAACTGAGTTAATAAATGGGTTTAAGCAACCCTCATTGGTTATGCAGCAGAAGAAAACTAACACAGTCAGGAATCCCTACAATGGAGATAAAAGCAACTGTATTGGTCTGAGGTGAGGCCTCATGGTTGTCCCACTAGAGGCCATCCTGGCTAGAAAAGTAGCATCTAACACGGGGACACCATATATGGGGCAGGCACACATGTGAAGTCTGAATCTACATCAACTACTTGGTTTGGAAATTCTGAACCGAGAAATTAACTAGGAACGAGTCTGAAACTGGAGAAATCACAGGGCTCCAGCATAGGGGTCAGCAAAGTTCTTCTGTGAAGGACCAGATGGTAAATATTTTAGGCTTTGGGGAGCACATGGGCTCTGTCTCAGCTATTCAACTCTGCTGTTGAGGCACAAATCTTCCATAAATGAATGGTAACACATAAATGAATGAGCGTGGCTGTATACAGTGGCCAACTGGACATTTCCTCTTGGAAATCTCATGTGTATCATGTAGTGCAAATACATATGAGCAAAAAGATAAAACATAATCTTCTGCTTCTATGCATTTCCTCTGCATTGGCTTATTTCCCCTTTATCACCTCCAATTTTGTATTTGTGTGTCCTTGCTATTTTCTTGATTAGACCAGCTAGTATTTTCTCTATTTTAATACCTTTTCCAAAGAATCACCCCTTGAATTCATTTTTCTCATACTGTGATATGTGTGCCAGGTGCTTCCAAAGAGGCCTGTATGAATACAGCATTCCGGAAGTCACAGAGGAACAGGAATTGGGTCAGCCTGTGCAGAGAGGGTGGTTGTTCCTGAGGCTGCACTCAGGAGATTGCTCGGGTTCGGGCTCTGACTCTGCTGCCTGGTTCTAGCTGTGTAAGGGCTAGACCTCAAAGCCTTCATCTGACCTCAAAGCCCTTATCTGAAAAGGGGGAACATAACACTAGCGCCTTCTTTATAGGGTTGTTGTCAGGAGTAAATGGGTTCATGCATATAAACAACTGAGGACATGCCTAACACCTAGTCCATGCTCAATAAATGGTTATCATTTGAATTCACGGACAGCTTTGAGGATTGTGGTTATGGACCTCTCTCGCCCATGTGTGGCTGACCAGGAGGCGCACAGGAAGCAGAGGTGGACATTGAGATATTAACAGGACAGGAGCACTATGAGAAGAAGAGTGGTCAAAAGGCACAGAAGACTGGGCTCATCTGCACCTCAGGCACACCTCGAAGAGTTTTGAGAGCATGTGAAATTCACCCTGAGCATGCTGGGTCTCAAGAAATGATTCAAGTATACTCCATGTGACCTGTTTTAGAAAGGAGACACCTGCACAGTGTGTCTTTCGAATCCAGTCAATCAAGAGAAGAATTAGGTCTGAGAACAAGTAAGTTTCATTTCTCTGCAAGATTTACTTTGCTTGGAACCTAGGCCGCTGCCAGAAAGAAGCAGGAATTCTGCTGTGAGGTCAAGTCTTCTGGAGAGGTCTCAGTGCCCACTGCCCCCCGAGTTTGTAGCGAGACAGAAGTTGATTGAATGGGAGTCCCCTGTTCCTTTCTTTCAATGGGGGTCTGTCCACTGCTGGACCAGTAGGTGGATTTCTAGGGTATTAACTCAGAATTTTCTCTTGGTAGGAGAAAATTCTGCCAAGTAGAAAATGTCTTTACTTGTAGCGGACTCAGGAGGGAGAAAGCATTACAGATTTAATGCACAAACTAAGTATCAATTTTGGCTACTTTGATAATCTCATGACAGTAAATGTGGGGATGATGTGGCATTTATTTTGTTGATTTTAAAAGCATTACAGAGATGAACATTCCAGGTCTAAAAATTAACAAGGATATTCAAGAGTGGAGTACTCTTGCTATTTTAATTTTCTGTCTAATTGGGAATTAACCAAAGAATGCAACTGAGCCCTTCTTTAAGACTAGAGATCTTGCATGAGTCTCAGCCTTGGTCCCCTGAGATGAGCCCTTACCATAAAGACTGGCAGATGTCAAGCATGTAGGAAGGAATTGGGGCTGGACAAGCAGGGACTGAGTTTCAGACCCTGGGCTTTGGCAGAAGTGGTGGCCTACTCAGATAAAGGAGGAGGCAAAAGAGACGGGTAGCGTTTCCCTCGCCTTCCTGAGTAAGGAGCTGGTCTCTCAGACACAGGAGGACACAGCTGCACTTGGTACCTTTCTAGGCCCATGTCCTGTTACCTCTTGGTATCCCTTCCCCCAGCAGTCACACGCTGACCAACTGCAGGTCCCCTAGACCCAAGTGCCACCGACTCCTTTCCCTTAGTGTAGCTGATCTCACAAAGATGCTAGGAGAGGGGGCGCTGCTTGGCCTAACTCAAACCAGTGCATAAATGGCTCAACCTCTAACTCAGGGAGGCCTATTCATACTTTCCAAAGAGGATGCTTGTTAGCACACATGGATTTCTGGAAGAGCGAGTGAGAGTGAGGGAAGAAGGAAGGGAGGGGAAGGGAGGAAGGGATTTATTACTGAAACAAAGGCAGCAGGGTTACTGAAGTGAATGCAAACCAGGGGTGGTGGTGGGACGTCGGAGATGGGCCCTGCCCTGAAGTCTGCCCTCTGAAGGTGCAAGGTCGCTGGTCAGATGGGGTGAGGGTGAGGGAGGGGTTCTCTGACGGTCGTTGGCCCATATAAGTTGGCCACACGTCAGGCATCCTGGCAGGGCCCTTGTAGATCAGAAGAGCCTTGAGTCTGGGAACAGAGGAAGGTATTGGGCATCCACTGCGGGTGCCTTCCCTGCCTCTAAATTTGAAACTACTTTTATCTTTACCTGGGATACAGGAAAACTCCTTTACTGTAAGACCCTGACGTATTTCCCTCACGTAACCCCCAAATTAGGTTTCCGAACTGGGAGCCACATGATCAGTCTTCGTGGGGAGAGTGAATTTGTCCTGTTACTACAGCTAAGGAGTGACTCCCTAATGAGCAGTTTGTTCTTCTGCGGGTGGACACCCCCCTGGAGGTCCATGGCAGACAAATGATTTCCAGAAAGATGGAAGGTCAAGCAGGGTGAGGAGATGCCATGCCCCAGCACGGACCTGGTGCCCTGAAGCCGGGTGTGGGTTCACACAGAGCCAGCCATTTCAGTGAGCTCACAATGGCCACCCCCAACTTTGAAAACCTCTTCTAGAATCATCTGCAACCTGATGCCTGTGGCCTTGGCAGAAGATGAGGTCATTTTCTAAAGCACAGAAGCATGACTTAGCTTGTGAATCTGAGCCCCGGTGGCACAGGTGTCCCAAGGCCATGGGTCCTCTCCCGTTTCCACTGCAACACAGTGTTTAGGCTGTCTGTGAGTGAGCGCGAGGGCGAAGTGTGGCCCAGTGTGCAGGGGGGCTTAATGTCTCTTGGAGGCCCTGCCAGACTCTGTTTGGTTCTATGTTCATATACAGGCAAAAACAACAACAACAACAAAAACAAAAACAGGCTTCGTTCAAAGAGCAAGAGGAATGCGGGGTTACACACTGACATGCTGGAGGTTAGGAGGCTTTTAATTAAAACAAATTCCAGTAAACCTGGGCTCATTTTCTTGAGGCTGTCCTAAGGCAAGAGCTGAACAGTGAGGGCAGCTTTCATTAAGAGGGAGGCCTACATGTACAATGTGACAATTATCTTTTGTTAACAGTCTTGGGAAAGAGTCTGTACTATGTACTCACAGCAAAAGCATTAAGGACCGCAGGGAATTTAGCCTGACATTAACCCCAGAGGAGCTCCATCACCCAGCAAACAAACAGAC